GGAGGTTTTCCTTCTTTCTTTTTTAGGGCTAAATGGGGTCCATGAAAAGTAAAGAGGAATAAAGGGTGCCACGGTGTGTGAAAAAGAGTGGGATCGGTACACATCAGCATCCAGCGTGTAAAAAAATGACACGCTGGCATAGGGTAACGGAGATAATGACGGTGATGATGTCATCTGTTAAATAATGATCGATTTGGGTTAATCGATACTTTTAGAGGGCTAAATGTCCTTGCTTTTTTTTGGGGGGTGGATTCGTCCCTGCCCATATTTTTTAAGAGGCGATTTGAGGGTTCTGCCTTTTCTAGGCACAGTTCATTCAAGTTATGTTTAGGAACTTGAATTTGAATTTGATGAGTGTAATTAAAATATATGTATTTTAAAATATATTGTTTGGATTAAATAAAAAAATAAATTTTAAATACATATATTTTTAAATACATTGTTTGAATATATTAAAAAACTATGTATTTGAAATTAAATTTTTTTTATTAAATTAAATCTTCTTCTAATTATTATTTAAATTTAATAAAATTAAGGTTAACAATTTTAGTCTTCCAAGGCATTATTTAAGTTATATCAAGACAAACAAATTGGATAAAAAGAAAAAAGAACAATGACCTCCACTAATTAATTTGTCTTCATGCTCTCCATTTTTTTTTCATTTTTTTTCATTGTCATGTAATATTCAATTTCTACAATGATAGATTTATCATGAAAGAATTTCACCATGAAAAACACCTTCTCCTTGACTTTTTTATTTTCTTTTTTCTCCTAAAATTAATAGGAGAATATAAAAAAAAAATCACCTACAACCAACACAACTAAGAGTCCAATATCAAAATCATAACATTAACAGACATATTTGAAATGAGTAAAGACAAAATAAAGAGCACACTAGTAAAAGTAATATGGCCTCTCTCATAAGAGAGATGCCAAGTAAGGCAATCCCATATTATATCCTTTAACTAGAAAGAAAGAAGCACCATAGCCATAAATAGTAAATACTTACTTTTTTTTGTTTTCATTTCTAAACATGGATGCACAAAGAGAAAACAAACACGGAACAATGAATCTCAATTTTTGGCATCATGAAACATGTAGAATATACCAACAATTGTTCTTTAATAGGACTCTCTCCAAAATCTCAAATCAAGACTCCATTTTTTTTCCATTAAAAAAAAAAACCCTAACATGGGGGGGCCAAAAACCTCAAAAATTTCTCTTCTAAAGTCATAATTGATGCATTAAAATCACCCTAACAAGTGTACTAGTCGCTCCAAGTAATATAATGATGAGAGAGTGTCGAACCCACGAGGATTGTGTCTAATTAAGTACCAAAACAATTAATCTAAATTTATTTGAACAATCGACAAGATGGAATTTTAATTAAAATAATAAAAAGAAACTAACAATTAAAATAAAACTAACCAAGATATGAAATACTAAGGCATTGACTTCACCATAATCAATCAATATAAATTCTGGATTACCAAATTGTTGAGTGTTATTGCATGTGATGGCGGATTTCCCTAAATTAATTAATTAGCTTTCTTAAGTCAAGTTAATCCTTCACTGGTTTGTTAAATTAATCATATCTCTATATAATTTTAAACAAACTAATGAGCATTAGATTCTATGGAAACCTCTAGCTTAAGAAGGGGGAGTTCCTAACTCTCTTCTCTTCCTCCACTACCACATGTGAGCTAATTACCTCTCGGTCTCATAATCTAACACACGGTTTATATTATTATTGGTCTAATCTACGCAATTCTTTCTCAAGTTCATGCATAAATCACTAAATCAATTGAAAAGTGATCAGACTTCCAATGCATTAAGTTCAATAATATAAACTCCTCGTGCGAATAACTCTAATCACAAAATCTATATTAAATTGATTAGGCTAAATCATAGTCTTAATAGAATAAATCAGTTCATAATAAAAATAATAAAATCTGAAATCACAATTATGAGCATAAGAATGTCTAAGGAAAAATAGAACCTAATTTGAGGTAATTGAAATCTTTGATCTTCTCGTTGATGAATCTTCTATCTTGACTTCCAAGAGTGCCCAAAAAGAGGGCTGCCACCAGCCTCCCAAGGCTCTCTTAATTCTGAATTTGGATGGGTATATATAGGATTTTAGAAACCCTAATTAAAATAGAAGTAGGACTTGGAACAGAAATAGGAAACTAAATTTTAGATGTTGATCGCGTGGTGCTGACACTTCGGATTACGTGTTGACACAAAATAGAAAACAGAATCTGATTCTAGACGTTTAACGAATGGTGTCGACACCTCGATCATGTGTCGACACTACACCCGTGTCGGGTTTCTGGGCTCCTTTTGCAATTTCTTCAATGGTAAAATAACAGATTTGGTTCCTAACTTCTGGATTCTGCACAAGTTGATATTCAAGTCTCTGATCTCTTCAATTTACTTCTAAAAAATAGGATTTCTTCCAATTAAATCCTTTCCTACACAAAGGATGAAAACCATGTAAAATCAAACAAAATCTCATAAAACTCATCCAAATATCAATAATATCAAAATAAAAATTCTCTATTAATATGTATATAAATTTAGCTCATCAATAATCCTAATAGATTCCTTCCTCAAACAAAATTTCCCATCAGAATCAATGGCAAAAACCAAGAGCTCTAAAGAAATTACATTGCCCACCAAACGCAAGGCCCAAGGCCCAAGACCATGACAATTCCCCACTGAAAGCTCCCAAAATTGTGCCCCAAGACGAAATTGAGGAC